AAATAGATCGAAGTGTTCATAGGTTTTTGAGGTCTGTTACAACAGCTTTCACTTATTACAAAGCATCCTCTCTGTGTGACCCAAGACCTCAACATAAATCTTGCAGTTCATGCTTAAATAAACTTGGCTATTTATAATTAGTAAGGTTAGTTGACATGCTTTATGTGTTCCCACAAGATACATTCAAAACTTGTGTATTTAAAACTTTTTGAAGTCAAGAGATAAATTTGAGAATCAAAACTTCAGTTACATGTAGTCACTTCAAGGAAAAACAGTGAATATATTCATGTCCTGTAGGGCAACGTAAGGTAAGATTCCAAGCATTTTCATCGGCAGTTTGTAGGGTGGACCACCAACACTTTTTACTATTTGTAAACTAACTGTCACAAAAATATTTAATAAAGAACAGTTCTACGTTACAATAATTCTGGACTGAAAATTAAACCATGGGCAACACATATTACACTTAAGTTAAGTGTTGGCCAGTACAGATGCCAGTCGTGTCTCGATTGTGTTCAAACCATGTATTCAAGGTCCTCAAGGTACAGACATATGTACTGAACCATTCTTATCTGTCAGACTCATTTAAGAGACTACTTTTGGAATTCGTTGGCTTGCATCAAGGTCTACCATGTGTACATTCTGTCGAATCTGAGCAAAAATTGAAAAAACTTAAGTTTATGATCACAACAATATTGTTCAAGCGAAAGCAAAAGAGGTTGAATCCTGACATATATTTACAGCCAATGGTATATCAGAAAACTATAGTTGAACTCAGCTCTAGGGTTCAGACACTGTTTGACTGCAAACAGATGATTTTTGACAACCAAAACGTATATTTTGCAACAAAAAGAATAATAATTATTTTGCCATTATCATACACTGGATATACAGTCAAACCACTCCACAACGGCTACTTTGCGGAGGGAGGAAGGTGGCCATTGTACATGTAGAAAGGTGGCTTATATAGGGAGGTAGAGGTGTAACTTAGCATATAAACTGTATGTAACAACAATAAAATTGCATCAATAAAACAGAAACTAAACAGAAACAGAGACCAATGACGTGTGGTATGGATCAAGTTTGGTGACCTTTTACAAAAAAATAATGGGGTTTTGTGTACAATGTTCATCAGTCATTGATTAACTGGCTGTTGTTGCGAGGTTATCTGGCAGTTGGGATGCATTTTAGAGGCCGATGCCGTTGTGGAGAGGTTTCTGTTGTAGAGAGGTAAAATATAAGAGTGAATGTATCCATGGACTT